TCACCCGGGCAGAGCGATAGTAGAGTTACCTCCACCTTGGGTCCGCCGGAAGAAAGAGAGCGAGAGCTTCCTCTCTCTCCTTATTTATACTCTTGCTTACGTAAAATCGTATGGAATACTGGGAACATGACCTTGGTTCCTTGGTTACAACCTGATCACCAAGGAAGGCCTAGATTCAAAACCACTACACCTCTCCTCCAGCTAAGGCAAACCCATGCCCTCTCCCTGTCCTGCTGCACTGCCCCAAAGAAAGGGTCCCAAGCCAAGGCAGCCCAAGCCTCTCCTTGCCTGCAGCCCAAAGCAGCTGGTGCCCAGGTTTCTGCCTCCCCACTGTGGTTTGTTTCTGTCAGGCTGGTGCCCCCGGCCCAGCCCAGCCCCTGCCCAGGGCAGGGCGAGTGACAGAGCCGGGCTCCCATTTCACAGCCACCCCGGAGCACCCGTCCACCCCCTGCCAGGAAGCAGCTTGGCAGCAGCTGAAGATCGAAGCACGTTCCCCAAAGGCCAGCAAAGGGGGGAACCCTCGGTGCCCAGCCAGGCTGTGCAATGCCCACGCCTGGGAGCACCCCTGGGTGTGGACTCATCTGCAAAGGGGCCGTGGAGCACGGCTTGGAGGAAGGGGCCACAATCAAAGGCCATCATCTTCAGCTCGCCAGCGTCCCGGTCAACCAAGAGCTTGTTGTCCTTGGTGCCGTCCTTCATGTCTCCAGCAGCAGGCCCACCTGGCACAGCTTCTCCAGAGGCCCCTTCTCCTTCCCTGTGGGTGAGACCAGGCTGTCAGCATTCTGCCAAGGGCCCCAGCTGTCTGTGAGGCAGGATGAGCAAAGCCAGGTTAGATGGTGGCCACCAGCGCCTGGGAGACCAGCCAGGCTCTGCAGCCCAGCTCCAGCACAAAGAGGGGCGTGTTCCCAGGGGATGATCCCTTCCTGGTGCTATGTGCAGGACAAAAAAGTTTGGTTTTCTTTGCTTCTTGTCGCCAAGAAATGTGTGGAGGTGTTACTTGCCAGGCCCCTGGATCAAACGGAGCATGTGGATCTCTCCCTTCTCCTAGGGCAGCTGAACGCCCTGCACCCAAGGATGGCAGAACAGGTCTTCCAACAATGGCCTGTCTGAGGGGCGGGTGGACAAACACCACGTGATAAGGTGCTGGCACCATGGGGGGAGAAACCAGAAAAGACTGGTCAGTTGGAGAAGGATCCTGTCCCCTTTGTCCCGCTGTCCACGTGCCCAGGCTGTGCTGGCTGTGCTCAGAGCTGTGCCCACACTTCCCGATCCATGCTCCATTTTGGAGGAGAGCAGGATGGCAGGACACAGGCCACCTCCTCCAGCCAACGCTGGGACAGAAACAGCTTCAAGAGCAGGATCCTCATGAGCCCCCTGCCCTCTCCCAACACCGGTATTGCCCCCCGGCCACAAAGATTGGTATCCACCTCGAGAGACCCGTCGTGGGAACGGGAGCTGGCCCCAGATGGTGCTCCTGCCTTTCCAGAAAGGGTGCTGCCCGCAGACCATCTGGTAGAGCAGGATGCCCAGGGATCAGATCGTTGCCACCTCGCCGTGGTAGCTTTTGAGCCAGATCCACTCTGGTGGGCTGTACAATGGTGTTCCTACAGAATACAGATGGAGTTCAGCAGGTGGGTGCTGCCTGCTCCCAGAGCCTCGCCCCAGCGTCCCTGGCAATGTGGGGCCTGCCCCAGAGGCACACGGTGTGACCCACTGCCTTCTCGCCGGCACCTGATTCATTTCCAAACTCTGGCTTGTAGAAGAAGCCACTGGTGTCCAAGAGGGCAGTGGAAGCCCTGGGAAGGCCCAACCATTCCATGCAAGGGAAAAACCCACCCAGTGTGGGGAAAAGCCATGCCTTCTCCCTGCCCCACTGCACTGCCCCCAACAAGTAATCATAAGGCAAGACAAATAAGGCGAGCAGAGCAGCCCAAGCCCTTCCTCGCCTGCACCCCAAGCCAGCTGGTGCACAGGTTCTGACCCCCTTCTCTGCTGCCCTCAGGGGTGGTTTTGTCAGGCTGGCTCCCCCCCTGTCCCAGACCCAGGCCGGGACAGGGTGGGTGGCACAGGCTTTCGGCAAGGCTGGGACCTGTCTCACGATAACCCCCCAGCCCCCTCCAGAAGGAACTTGGCTGAAGGACTAATATTGTTCCCCCTCAGCAAAAGGGGCAATCTGCAGTGCCACACCCGCGATGCCCGGGACCAGGAGCATCCCCCAGCTGTGGGCTCACCTGCAAACTGGGTGTAGGCCGTGTCCTGAAGGAACGTGCCACATCCAAAGTCAATGAGCTTGGCCTCACTGGTGGCCAGGTCGAGGACGATGTTCTGGGGCTTGATGTCCCGGTGCAGGACGCCGCAGCTGCTGCAGTGCCGCACGGCCTTCAGCACCTGGCGGAACAGCTCCCACGCCATCTCCTCCGGCAGGAACCTCCACGCTGTGATTAAGTGAGAGAGGTCCTGAGAGCGCTCCGGACGCTCCATCACCAACAAGAAACTGCTGGGGAGCTCAAACCACTCCAGGAGCTGGATGACACCGCAAAACCCATTGGACACCTTGTCCAGCAGCACGATCTCCAGGGGTGCCCGGGTGCCGTCAGGCTCCGGGGGGACCACGATGTCGTCAGTGGGACTGATGCCGTGCCTGTCTGCCTGCTACCCCTCCGCCAGCCCTGCATGCTCCCCGCCCCCCACTGACCCCATGCCCACTGTCCATCCAGGTGTCCCCGAGGCTTCCACCCTCCCGGGCCTCGACTCGTCCCCGCCCGTCACGCCCCGCTTTCTCCCGCCGGCCCCGCTCACTCACCAGCTCGCCCCACTGCCGGATGCCATCCCGGGGCACGCATTTGATGGCCACCTGCAAGGCAAGGGCAACGGCGGGTTGAGCTCGCCGCCCGTCCCACTCTCCTCCTCCTCCTCCTCCGTCTCCTCCTTCCTCCTCCTCCGTCTCCTCCTCCTGCACTCACTGGGGCTCCGTCCGCCAGGCGGGTCCCCGCGTAGACGCGGCCGAAGCCGCCGCTGCCCCGCAGCGAACCCACCCGGTACCGCTTCTGCAGGGGCTCCTTGGCCTTCCGTGCGGGCGAGACGTGGCCGTCAGCGTTCGGCCCGGGGCCCGGCACGGCCCCCGAGCGCCCCTCAACCACCCCGGGCCGGGCTGCCGCACCCGCAGCGGGCACCGGCGGCTCGCTGCCGGCGGCCGGGCTGCCGAGCGGCGGAGCTCTGCCCGGGGAAGCCGCACAGAAGGCGCCGGGGCCGCGGCAGGCGGAGCCAAGGGGAGGCCACGCCGAGCCCGGCCCAGACCCAGCCGCAGATGAGCGCCCAGCAGCGCCGCAGCCGCCCCGCCGGCAGCCGGCCGAGGGTCACACCGCGCCGGGCCGCCCGGGGACGGGGACGGGGACGGGGACGGGGACGGGAACGGGGACGGGGTGGCCCCGCCCGGGAGAGGGGGCCGGCCGGGGGCATGGCCCGGGCTGGCAAGGGGAGGGGACACCGGGAACAGGTCAGGGACACCGGGAGAGGGGACACCGGGAACAGGACAGGGACACCGGGAGAGGGACACCAGGAACAGGTCAGGGACACCGGGAGAGGGAGAGAAAGAAGAAGAGCAAAAAGAAGAGTAAGAGCGAGAGTAGGTCGCTACAGTCGCTGCCGCTGCTGCCGCCGCTGCTGCTGCCGAAGCGCTGGGGCCGTTTGTCCGTTTGTCCGTCCCCCGTTGGCCCCCGCGTCCCCCGGGGGCAGCCCCGGCCGCTCCACTCCGAATCAGCCCCGGCCGGAGTCACGGAGCTCCCCTTCCTCCCGCACCCACGCCAAGACCACGGGCTTTTTTAGCTGCTTCGCTTTATTCTCACTTCTTTGGTGGCAATCTTGCAACCTGTCGCCGCTGCTCGCCGTCCCCCGCACCCCATCCCGCCCGCTCGGCCCGCGCTGGCACTTCCACATGGAACACGGCACAGCTCTGGCAGCTGGGATGTCACAGGAATTGTGGG